ATAGGGTTCATGTTGGCAGAATTTTTTAAAGCTGTTGTCCACCTTTGCCAAACTTACAAACAGAATTAGCTATACTTTATTTCACTATGATGGTAGTTCTTTCAGGTATATCTTTTCTAAAAGATGAATTACACTGAGAGAGAAAGAGAGGCAGAGAGAGAGGTCTTCCATCTGCTGGTTCATTCCCTAATTGGCCGCAATGGCTGGAGCTGTGCTGTTCTGAAGCCAGGAATTTCTTCTGGGTCTCCCAGGCAGGTGCAGGGGCCCAAAGACTTGAACCATCTTCCACTGCCTTCCCAGGCCATGGCAGAGAGCTAGATTGGAAGTAGAACAGGCCGGCGCCGCGGCTCACTAGGCTAATCCTCCGCCTTGCGGCGCCGGCACACCGGGTTCTAGTCCCTGTCAGGGTGCCGGATTCTGTCCTGGTTGCCCCTCTTCCAGGCCAGCCTTCTGCTGTGGCCAGGGAGTGCAGTGGAGAATGGCCCAAGTGCTTGGGCCCTGCACCCCATGGGAGACCAGGATAAGTACCTGGCTCTTTGCATCGGATCAGCGCGGTGCGCCGGCCGCGGCGGCCATTGGAGGGTGAACCAACGGCACTGTCCACTCTGCCTGTCAAAAAAAAAAAAAAAAAAAAAAAAAAGGAAGTAGAACAGCCAAGACTCAAACCAGTGCCCATATGGGATGCCACCACTGTAGGGGCGGCTTTACCTACTATGCCACCACGCTGGGATGTGTGGCACAGCGGCCATGCGCATTCTGATGAAATCATAGTTACCCTTAAATGCGACTGTGTGGTTTAGATTTGAATTCTAAGCTCTGATTCTTACTGACTATACGTGTCTTGGAGACAGTATTTAACCTTTGTCAGCCTTGGTTTGTTCATCAGTGAAAGGGATAATACTTCAATGTTAGCTGTAAAATAGGATGAAGTACAGTACATAAAATACCTAGACTTTCAGCAGTTTATGGCAAATGTTAACTGGCTTCATTTTAAGAAAGAGAGAACATACCTGAGACTTTAGCCCCAAGTTAATAAACCACTCTTCCTACTGCACCTCAGTTATTGGCATGTATGAGAGGCAGCATTCTGACTTCACACTGACAAGGATCAAGCCAGGCCCAAGTCATCACTTTGGAGAAATGGGCCCCACTCTTCACCTTGTCCACTCCAGCAGCCTCTAATTCATGTCAAAGTTGGACACACTGCTAGGCCTTAGGAAGGAAGGCATCCTTCCCCAGACACATAAGGCTCCCAAAGCCTTTGTTTACAACTCTCTAGAAGACCAGATAACATGAACCTTTCAATTTCTGTCCTAGTTATAACATAATAAAATCCACAAGTCAAAGCCAGCACTTGTCTTTTTATCTGCAGCAGCCAGCACAGTGTTTCTAACACTGTTGCTGCCATGTAAATCATGAATGGATGGAAGGACACTGAATGGATGAATTGTAGTTGGATACAGCACATTTTCAAAATAGACATGGACTGATTCCATTCATTCAAGAAAAGGGTAAAGAGAAGCCAAGAGGGGGCCAGCATTTTGGTGTAGCAGGTTAAGCCTCTGCCTATAACATTATAGGTGTTGAATTGAATCCCAGCAGCTCCACTTCCAAACCAGCTCTCTGCTAACACACCTGGGAAAGCAGCAGAAGATGGTCCAAGTACTTGGGCCCCTGCACCCATGTGGGAGATCTGGAAGAAGCTCCAGCCTCCTGGCTTCAGCCTGGCTCAGCTCAGGCTGTTGCAGTCATTTGAGGAGTGAATCAGTGGATGCAAGATTCTCTCTCTCTCTCTCTGTAACTCTGCCTTTCAAATAAATAAAATATAAATCTTAAAAAAAGAGACAGAGGGGCTGGCGCCATGGCTCACTTGGTTAATCCTCCGCCTGTGGCGCCAGCATCCCATATAGGCGCCGGGTTCTAGTCCTGGCTGCTCCTCTTCCAGGCCAGCTCTCTGCTGTGGTCCAGGAGGGCAGAGGAGGATGGCCCAAGTGCTTGGGCTCCTGCACCTGCATGGGAGACCAGGAAGAGGGACCTGGCTCCTGGCTTCGGTTCGGTGCAGCGCTGGCCGTAGCAGCCATTTGGGGAGTGAACCAACGGCAGGAAGACCTTTCTCTCCGTCTCTCTCTCTCACTGTCTATAACTCTACCTGTCAAATAAAAAAAAAAAAAATTGAATTAAATTAAAAAAAGAGACAGAATCCAAGAGATTTAGAAAGATATTCCCTTTCTAGGTGAGTGTGTATAAATAAAGGTAGGGGAAAGGAATAAAGAAGGTTAGATTCACAGGGTCTGGAAAGCAGATCAGGCCAATCAAGGGGAAATGAAAGAGGGAAACATTTTAGGAGGAGAAAGCTGCCTCTAGATCACCACCATCTTCTTCCTGTTTAGAACAAAAAATTTATGCAGATTGTCTGTTTAGAAAGACTGCTAGCACACAAATTAAATACACACCCTTCATCTAAATAAAAATTCTCATACGCTTCAAGCATGGCCATTTCATGGGGAGTACTAAGGAAAATGGATTCTTTCATAATGCTATTTTGATAGGATTTCTGATTTATTTCTGCAGGAAAAATTTATTGACAAGCATATCCCATAACTGATTATATACATCCTCAAAAATATTTCCTGGCAGAAAAGCCTAAGAATCTATTGATGTTAAGAATGTCATTTCTGATCAGAGAAGACAGACGTTATGCAAGGAACTCCATCAGAGTAAAGAAATGGCTATGGTATTTTGAAGATTAGTGTGCAGGCTAAGGTTGTGAAAGTTGAATTTTCTTTAACATGAACTAAGCAGAAATGAACAAACAGAGCTTTAAAGAAAAAAAAAAAACATTTTATTTAAAGAAATGTTAGAGCCAGGTAGACAGGAAGAAAACATTGAGTAAGAAACTGTAGATGCTGGGAAACAGAGACACATCTAGAGTTTTCAGGTGTCCATATAAATGAGTTGGCTAATTTCTCCCAATGCACTTGCGAAGTAGTTGCTATTTTGAATACACAGATTCTGTAACTGTAACAATGCAGTTAAGAGATTTTTTGAAGCTCGAAGAGCTGGTGAGAGGGAGGCTTCTACCACATTAGGTGCCCAGAATCATCAACCAGGAGGGTAAACAGGGAAGGAAAATGGAGGAATAAAGTCAATCAGGAAGGCTGACTGATGGAATTCAAGCCGGTACCTAAAACAGCTACATTTTCCTTGCCTTTATTTTTAACAGCTTATTGAGTAATTTCTCCATTCTAAGCACCTAGTGTATGACTTCCCACATAAAATTTTATTCAATTTTGGAGCTGGCATTGTGTCCCTATGGGTTAAATTACCACTCGGGACACCAACATACCAAACATTCTGGTTTGAGTCTCACCTCTGATTCCAATCAGTTCCTGATAATGTACACCCTGGGAAGTATTCCAAGTACCTGGGTCCCTGACACCCATGTTGGAGAGCTGGATGGGGTTCCTGTCTCCTGTCTTTAAACAGCCCCTGTCCCTGCTGTTGTAGACATTTGGAAAGTGAAACAGGACAGGCATCTCTCTCTCTCTCTTGCTCTCGCTCTCACTCTCTTTCTCTCTCTCCCTCCTTTTCAAATGAATCAATTTCCCCAACATACTCACAGGGATAGAATAACAACTTGGATTTGGGACATATCTGATGACACAAATACAGGATGTATAATTGTATAAAATCTTAGTTTTTATATATGTACACACATGTATGTGTAACTACTTATAAACACCCTTTATTTTAAAGATGTATTCATTTATTTGAAAGGCAGAGTTAGAGAGAGAGAGAGAGAGTGAATGAATTACTGGTTTACTCTCCAAAAGGCTGCAATGGCCAGTGTTGGGCCAATCTGAAGCCAGGAGCCAGGAGCTTCTTTCAGGTCTCCCACGTGAGTACAGGGCCCCAAGTACTTGAGGCTATCTTTTGCTGCTTTTACAGGCACATTAGCAAGGACCTGGATCAGAAGTGGAGCAGCTGGGACTTGAACCTGGGCGCATATGGGAAGCCAGCACTGCAGGTGGCAGCTTTCTCCACTATGTCACAGCACCTGGCCCACATACAGACACTCTTGATAAATTATAAAAATGTCCACAAATCCTTTACATCCTTTACAACATCACATTGCAATTCCTCCCATCAAGAACTAGAGTCTATTTCCTGCTCTTTGAATCCAGCCTAGACTGTGGCTTAGCTTGCTTTTGCCACAAGTATACAGTAGAGAAGTAATGGTAAGTTAATTCGAAGCTTTTAGTTCAGGAGGCCTTGTACATTTTCACTTTCTCTCTAGGGACCTTAGACTGCCATATGAACAAACCCAAGTTATCCTGCTATTGATGAGAGATCTTGCTGACCACATCGGGCCCAAAATGTGTAAGAAAAACCAGCCAAGACCAGGCAAGCTGTTTCTGCAGCCCAGCCTGGAAGAACATAAGGCAGCCCAGCCTGGAAGAGCTGAGGCACACAGCTACAGAATTGTTAGCTAAATGGTAATGAATAGCTTAAGCTACACAGTTTATAATGGACTGTCACACACAGCTAAATATGCCTAGGAAAAAAAGCAGAAAATGACTTGATTTGCTTCTTTCGGTATTTCCTTCTATTCTCCATTCATTGTCTATTTCTCTAATAATTAACGAAAGCACTACATGTAAGATGAAGTTCTTAAGAGCTTTTCTAAATTCCTTAAAAAATAACAGTCCATGTATAGTCACAACTATTTAACTGAGATTCTGAGGAAAGATGACACCACTTTACTAAATAAAAAAAGACCACATTCAACATTTATCTTTCTGTTCAGTAAATATAAGAAGAACTTGAGTGAATGATCCATTTGCAAAGTGGAATGTTCCGCAAATTTTGATACACAATTTCATGGACCTTACCTATTATATTTAGGACAAGTGTGATGTTAACACAAAAAGGCACCTTAGCATTTTTCTTAATAATCACCATTGCTTCTTAAGACATGTTTTTTCAATCAAATCATTGGATTTTATTTCCAGGTTTGGGATTTTATTAAGAAAACAAAATAAAAATCTCATCAAGTCTTTTTTTTTTTTTTTTAAAGCAGGCAGAGTTAGACAGTGAGAGAGAGAGAGAGAGAGAGAGGGAGAGAGAGAAAGGTCTTCCTTTTGTTGGTTCACCCCCCCAAATGGCTGTTATGGCTGGTGCACTGCGCCGACCCGAAGCCAGGAGCCAGGTGCTTCCTCCTGGTCTCCCATGCGGTGCAGGGCCCAAGCACTTGGGCCATCCTCCACTGCCCTCCCGGGCCACAGCAGAGAGCTGGACTGGAAGAGGAGCAACTGGGACAGGATCCAGCGCCCCAACTGGGACTAGAATGTGGGGTGCTGGTGCCGCAGGCGGAAGATTAGCCTAGTGACCGGCAGCACCCGACCTCATCAAGTCTTTTTTAGGATTCATTACCATACCCATTCTTCCCATCATACTACACCGCCTCCAAGAGATGGCACCAACAGTAAGATCCAATTGCTCAAATGTGGAAATCTTTACTTAATATACGCTAAATTGATCTTCTGTATATAAAGATAATTGAAAATTAATCGTGATGTGAAGGGGAAGGGGAGAGGGAGTGGGAGAGGGGAGCGTTGTGGGTGGGAGGGAAGATACGGGGGTGGGGGGAGGAAGCTACTGTAATCCATAAGCTGTACTTTGGAAATTTATGCTCATTAAATAAATAAATAAATAAATAAATAAAAAGATCCAATTGCTCACCTGATGAGCACCCTACAGCATGAACTCTCAACCAAAGAACCTTGAACCAGCTATCAAACAATGCCAAGAGGAAGAATACAAGGATGGATTTGGGGAGGACAAAAAAAAAAAAAGTAGCATTTTAAAAAAGCAACTACTAAGTACTCATTATAAGTAAATTTGTGAGAGTCTCTTCTCTGAAGTGGCTCACAGACTGGTAGGGGAGACAGACATGGCTGACCATAATGCAAGGTATTAAGAAGGCTCAGATGAAGATAGGAAGGGGCTCCTAAGAGAAGGAAGCACATACAAAGCCCTGAACCAGACCTGAGGCATCCAGGAAGCTCACATGCACATATGTCACGAAAGCCACTGGAGAGTAAAATATCTGTTTCCATGGAACCATGTGACTACCTTGTGAAGCCTGCAGAATTCCACTAAGAACAAGGTTTATAACACAAAAAACAAATTTATAAAAGAGAGCAATAACACTGAAATAGTATAGAAAAAACCCCAAACTTGTACCAAACTTGTACTATATGCTTCTTTAAATACTGTACTATGGGGCTGGCGCTGTGGCGTAGCAGGTAAAGCCGCCCCTGCAGTGCTGGCATCCCACATGGATGCCAGATCGAGTCCCAGCTGCTCCACTTCCAATCCAACTCTCTGCTATGGCCTGAGAAAGCAGTAGAAGATGGCCCAAGTCCTTGGACCCCTGCACCCACATGGGAAACCCAGAAGAAGCTCTTGGCTCCTGGCTTCAGATCAGCGTAGCTCCAGCCTTTGAGGCCATTTGGGGAATAAACCAGTGGATGGAAGACTGACCTATCTCTCTCTCTCTCTCTCTCTCTCTCTCTCTCTCTCTCTCTCTCTCTCTCTCTCTCTCCCCCTCTCTCTCTCTGCCTCTCCTTCTCTCTGTGTAAATCTGACTTTCAAATAAATAAATAAATCTTAAAAAAAAATACTGTACTAAACACTAATATCTAAAGGTAAGTCTACTAACAATTTCTCAATTTCAAAGTTGTGATGAACATAAATAACATCTTTAAAGTCTCTATTACAATGCTCCTGACTTCTATTTTGGATTGACTTGCATAAATTTCCCATGGCATCACTGTTCAAAATTCAGAGAACCATTAAATTCTTGTTGGATTCTAGTAAAAAATTTCCAAGTTTTTTTTTCCTTATTCTCTAACAGACATATTTGTCTTTTATCACCTATCACCTGGAATATTTAAAGACACAACAGTCAATCTTTTTAACCACAGCCTAACAAATATGACAACAATGCTATTTACATAATAGTACTTATATATGTCTTCAATAAAAGGAACTGAAATGAAATTTTGTGGGGCCACACTGTGGCACAGTGGGGTAACTGTTGCCTGCAATGCTGGCATCCCATGTGGCTACCAGTTTGAGTCCCAGCAGCTCTATTTCCAATCCAGGTCCCTGTTAACGTGCCTGGGAAACCTGTGGAGGATGACCCAAGTCCTTGGGTACCTGTACCCACATAGGAGGCTCAGATGGAGTTCCAAGGTTCCTGGCTTCAGCCTAGTCCAACTCCAGTCATTGCTGCTGTTTGGGAAGTGAACCAACAGATGGAAGATCATTCTATCTCTGTATCTCCTTCCCTCTCCGTAATGCTGCCTTTCAAATAAATAATAAATAAATATTTTTAAAAAAATGTTATCAAGTTAAAAAAAGATGAAAGTCAAGAAAGTCACTGCATGAATGGCTAAGTTAGAGACTAACATTAGTAGTATTTTGGTGATCCAGTCTGACACAGGAATCCAACTTGAATACTGAATGTAAAATGTACCACATTGTCAAGCATCATTTCTGTCAATTGGGATTTTCACAGAAAACAGAGAGCAATAACTTCCAAGGCAAGAGCTCAAGGAGAAGGAGCTCTGTTGCAGGGCAAGGGAAGATTCCAGGATGGCAATTCTCCTATCAGACCTGGCATGGCTGACCTGAGACACCTTGAAGGAGGGGACCCCAACACCGCATGAGCTGAGTCATGGGCAAACATATCATCCTGGGAAAATTCTGACTAGGCTTCCATCTACATACTGATGTTAACAGAGTGTAAATCCAAATACAACAGCACATGCAGAAGCTGATAGAGTCAGCAATGCTGAAGAGGTGAGGAAATCAAACCACAAGGCTTGATCAGTCAACAGGCCCAAGTACGCAGCTATTCATGTCCAGTGAACCTTTCCTCATCTCACCTTTGTTGCTTCAGCCCAATTCCTATGAATTTAGAATTTGTGAAACATTACTATTGTATGTCTTCAAGATAATGATATTATAACAATTCCTACAGGGATAGGAGTAAATAAAGTAACACAAACTATTCTTCCTTGATCAAACATATGCAACACAAGTCACTCATATGAATTTGCCTTCTATCAATGAAAGCTTTCTTTGTAAAGTTACAAGAGCTAGGTAAAAAATCCTCTACTTAGAAAAACTTAAATCCCTGGGGCTTCATGAAGAAGTAACTGCTCTTACAACAAAAATGCACAACAAAAATGCACTCCTAAAATGTCACAAGTACTTAATTTTCTACATATCTGTTTGTTTATATGATTTTTTATTTCTCAAGGGTTTTTAATTACCAACATGTAATACAGTGAGAAACAGTACTAAGAAGTTTCCCTGCAGATTTAAGGTCTTATTCACTTTAATGTCTGTAGAAATATAATACAGAGGCTGCACTGGATACTGTTCCATTTGAATCACAAGTTTAAGCCTAGGGGTAGTAGACCTGTTTAAGAAGAGACCTGGAATGGGAGAACCCATCTCATACACAGGTAGGTACTACAGCTCTCTATTCTCAATATTAGTAACTTCACAATGAACAGAGACACGAGCTCAGATCAGTTAGACAGAGGAAACTATAGTGGCCTACTGTTGAGCTGAAACCTGGCTTGAGATTTCCTGGGAGTTAAATCTGATTTCACTAGTTGTGTTTGAACGGGTTTTCTGAGCCATCAAAAATGAAGCACAGGTAAACTGATCCAAGCTATAATCTCAAATCAGAAAAATGACTAAAATGAAAATGCCACATGATCCAGTTCTGAAGATCTGGAAGTTCAGTAACTTCTGAAGATTTTTGAATCTCCCTGAAGCTCAATCTAATCATCTTTGAAATGGGTATAATTATAATATAATACTTACTATACAAGGTTAGTGTGATGACCAAATGAGGTAGTATACTGTGCATTAAAACTCACAGTAGAATATCAAAGACATTACATAAACGTTAGCTATTATTATTTTTGTAACCCCAATCCACACTCATACACTGCTCCCAACAATGAAGGGTGGTCACCTTGAGTCCAAGACAAAGTGAGACAACTGTGCTAAAAAGACATACTGTTTACATAAGGAAAGAGTGAGACAGAGTGAGAGAGACAGAGATACACAAACATCCTATTTTCTTTGTATTTCAGGAGAAATAGCAAAAGGAATTGCAGCAAGAAAATCAGCCAACAGCTTTGCACGGTCCACCGCAACCATAACAGCAGTCATGAAGTCTATCTTGTCAATGTTAATCAAAGAGGATAAAGCCACAGACTCTTTAAAGTTCACTGCAGTCATTTGTCTAGAACACCCATTTGTCAAGTTTTAACTGAGTGAATCTCCATACCCAGCACTGTGCTTTAAAGAGAGGTGCACAGGCGTGTGTGTTGGGCAGGAAGCGAGAAGACTGAGAGGCACTATAGCAGCAACCCCTTCCCTCCCAGGTTCATGCCCATAACCCATGGGGGTTTATGTCCCCCATGGTTAATTTTTGTGGTCCATATAACCTCAGTTACAGATGATTTTTCGGTGGCTATGGCTCCAGAGGCTCAAACAGCGGAGGCCTTGGGCAAAGGTTTCTCCCATCAATTTTCAGCATCGCCTTTGGGGCAAGAGTGGGAGTGCAGGGGTAGAGTGGGGGTGGCCTGCTTCTTGGGGAGCAACCAGGACTGCACCAGGGATGCTACAAGTGCAAGCTCCACAATAACCAGGGCAGCTATCTCACACACACCCAAGGGAAAAAGCATCAGATCAACTTGGCAGAAGGAGGCCTCGCCCAGCTAGCACCAGAGAAGGTCAAGGTGGAGGTGAAGAAGTTTGTGAAGATCTGCGGCTCAGGCTACAAACTGACCAAGCAGGGGGACACAGAGATGGACCAGCAGAAACTCCACTTCCAGATCGACTTCCCATAGATTGTCTAGGGCATCAGGGCATCACACCCCAACACCGCTGCATGTCCAAGTACGAGCAGAGGATTGAGCCCTGGTACCTGTGTTGGCAGTACCTGCTAATGGCGGCAGAGCCCTACAAGACCACTGCCTTCAAGGTGCCAAGCAGAGAGATCGACAAGGCCAAGGGCAAGTTTTGGACTCACTGGAACAAGGAAGACCAAGCAGTTCTTCCTGCAGTTCCCTGTCAAGATGGAGAAGCCTCCCTGCCAGGCCTCCCAGGGTGAAGCGGCCCTATCCTGCTGATGAATGGTTTGCCCCCTCAACTGCTGCTGCCAGATTCTCTGCCCTACATGCCCTCGAAGAGGCCTGTGCCTTTGGGGGGGCCCTCCAGTTGCCTCTGCCGGCCCCAGTGGTCCACACCCCACATCACCCCTGTACCAGTAGTTCACCTCCTTCCCCAGGGGTCCACCCTCCAGCACCCAGAATCCACCCACCAGCCCCGGGGGTCAACCTTACTTCAGGGGCTGGGGTTGATCCTCAGGCCCCAGGGGTGTGCCCACCAGCATGCACAGTTCAACTCCAGATCCCAGGAGTCCACCAGCTCCTGCAGTTCATCCCCAGGTCTCCCGGGTCCACCTGCAGGTACAAGGGGTCCACCCCCAGCTCCCTGGCAACCACTGTCAAATCCCGGGGTGCACCCTCCTGCTCCCATGCCCCCGATACTGAAGCCTCTACTGCCCTCCAAAGGCCTGGCAACATTTCTCTCTCCCACACCCCCAGCAACTGACAAGCAGCCCAACCCCCAAGCCTGATCTTCTGCCCCACCTTCCACACCCCTAAGTCCAGGCTGCCCAAGAATTCATTAAAAGTCTCCTGGTGCCTTAAAAAAATTATATATATGATTTCGCACTATCCACTTAAGAGAGTTTTTGGTTGTCAAACAAGGCCAGCAAAAAATTTGGTCTGGCACTGCCAAGGCAACTGTAGGTAGGACTCAAAATTCAATAAATACATAGCAGGATAATTTTTAAGTTGATGATTTTGTGTGGCCCAGAATGATGTCATAAATATACAAACAGGGGGCCAGAACTGTGGTGTAGTGGGTTAAATAGTGACAGTAATTCCTTATTTTAACATTGGCATTAAAGTCAAGCACCATGGATATGGTTGAAAGGTATAAATGGAATGTGTCAGCAGACACATAGCAGCAAAGGGTATTAGCCATCCCAATGTCTTACAATGCCTAAGAGGCCCATCTGCAGTGCTGGCATCCCATATAGCTGCCGATTTGAGTCCTGGCTGCTCCATTTCCAATCCAGCTCTCTGCTTATGTGCCTGGGAAAGCAGCAGAAGATGGCCCAAGTGCTTGGGCCAAGTTCCTGGCTCCTGGCTTTGGCATGGCCCAGCCCTGCTGTTGTGGACATTTGGGGAGTAAACCATCAGATAGAAGATCTCTGTGTGTGTGTGTGTGTGTGTGTGTCTGTCTCTCCCTCTCTGTAATTCTTTCAAATAAATAAATAAAAATGAAAATAAAATATGTAAATTGTCTTTGGGAGACAAGAGGCTCCCCAGCTCTGTTTTAGGGTATAATTAAAAGTGGGTGAATATAAGTGTTTGCAAATATGCTCCCTTCCTCTAATTTCTAAGAAATATCATGGGGAAAGGAGGTGAACTTATATTACTCTATAACTTCACTGATCCACTGTGCCCACTGTAGGACAAGAGACAAGAAAAGATATGGTGACACCTCATGAAGAATCATCCAGAAAGTACCTAATTTGCCTGGAAAGGAAAAATCTATTGAGTCTCAAGTAAGAAATGTGTCAGAGCCCACGATGGTACCAGGCCTCAACCGAAAGGTAGGATAGTGACACTGGATATCCCCCAGGCTAACTGGCTTCCTGTCAGAGGCTTTATAAAGGACTCTTGAGTATAACTAGAGTTTTGTATAGCATATTTGTTGAAAGTGAGCACCTATACACAAAGTAGACCTAGAGAATAGCCCTGTATATAGAAATATTGGAACTTATCTTATTAAATTGCTTTTTTTATTACTTGCAGTTAATAGTCTTAAAATTGTACTTTCATTATATTTTGTCAGTATCTATGGATTTCATTATGACTATGGCATCTAATTACTGTTTTCTACATGAAGTAGTTGAAAACTCCTGCCTCTTAGGCATTATAAGACATTGGGATGTCAAATACCCTTTGCTGCTGTGTGTCTGCTGACACATTCCATTTATACTTTTCAACCATATCCACGGTGCTTGACTCTAATGCCAATGTTAAAATAAGGGATTACTGTCACTACTTAATTTTCTTAACAAGTTATCAGCTGATGCTGAATGCTTAATTATATTTTTAAAAGAGTATGAATTGCTGAAAAGCTTAAAACTTACTGGAACTGAAAAATATTAATTCTGTGAAAAACCGAACAAGTGTTTTACAGAAAAATACACCTCACCTATGCTAAGAAATGCAAACAGACAAGTGGTCCTTGGACTGAAAGACTTGATTATCCTCAGTAGTTGGTCCTTTTTTTTTTTTTTTAAGATTTTTATCTATTTATTTGAGAGGTAGAGTTACAGACAGTGAGAGGGAGAGACAGAGATAAAGGTCCTACTTCCGCTGACCCGCTCTCCAAATGGCCACAACAGACAGAGCCGCGCTGATCCAAAGCCAGGAGCCAGGTACCTTCTTCAGGTTTCCCAGGTGGTACAGGGGCCCAAGCACTTGGGCCATTCTCCACAAGCCACAGCAGAGAGCCAGATCGGAAGAGGAGCAGCCGGGACCAGAACCGGCGTCCATATGGGATGCTGGCGCCACAGGCGCACCACGGTGCTGGTCCCAGTAGTGGGCCCTTGAAGTTAGTAAGTATCAAGTGTTCCAGGTAAACGTTTCTTAATGTAGCAGGAGCCTCACAGTGGAATCCCAGATGTGCTGACTGGTTGGTTCCACAGTGCACTTTGTGGTAGAAATGTCATAGCCAGGTGGGAAACACAACATTGCCAACTTTCTCCTGGAGATTCTGATGAGTACACTCTTGTGATTAAAACCAAACACCCATGCAGAGTTTCCCCCTTGATTTCTGTTTAAAATTAGTTCTATTTTTGCAGCTTTAAAAATCCAGAACAGGGGCAGGCTAAGCCTCCACCTGCAGTGCTGGTATCTCATATGGGCGCTACTTCTGATCCAGCTCTCTGCTTAGGGCCTGGGAAAGCAGTGGATAGCCTGAGTGCTTCAGCTCCTGCACCTGTGTAAGAGACCCAAATTAGTTCCTGGCTCCTGGCTTCATATACGCCCAGCTCAGGTTGTTGCAGGAGTTTGGGGAGTGAACCAGAGGACAGAGACCCTTTCTTTCTGTCTCTCCCACTGCCTGCAACTCTACCTCTCAAATTAAAAAAGAAAAAAAAAAATTGGCAAATATTCTATCCTGTGAAGCCACATAGAATTATACCAGTTTGAGAGAGATGAAAACTGTTAAGTTTTATACAAGTTTTACTTTGTTACAATAGCAATCTAGTAACCAAGCTAATAGTTTAATTTTCATTCTGAAATACCAAAGCACCACTATTTCACAGAATATTAATGAAAAATGCAGATACATTGCTGTGATCACTTTATTTACTATCAAATAGAGGTGCTAATTCCTTTTGAAGCAGGCAGGCATACAGGCTAAAATCAGTTCGTTTTGTGAGCTGGGAGACCACGCCTTCGCTACACCTCTGTGTGACTTCACCCCCTACCTGATACCTTCACCATGCCTCTGTGTGACCTTACACCCTACCTGATACCCTCACCATGCCCCCATGTGACATCAGGCTCTACCTGACCATACCTGAGTGCCCACTTGGCCACAAGCCACTCCACTGTGGAAAACATATATAAAGGCAGGGAGTGTTGCAAAAGGCTCTCTGCCTCTGTGGTGCTGCTGGTGATAAGCGGTGGATAGCAGCTCGAGGTGCTTGCTGCTCTGAGTGGTATGGATGCTACCCTAGTTTCCAGACTTTCCCCTCTCTCCTGCCTGAACTAAAGCCTTCACTTTCCTAGATACCTCTTGCACTAAATAAAAGCTTAAAATGTACTATGCTGCCTCGTTTATCTGTGCCGGTATTTAGAATTCTTCTTTAAATATTAGGCAAGAACCCTCTTGGGCTTATTAATATCGGGGATTTAGTAATAAGCCCGTGGTGAAATCGTAAGGCACCCCAAATTCCGATAGCACATATGGCACCCAGGAACTTTAAGGAGCCACATTTTAGTGTAAAATTTAGGGGTCTTCTCCGATTTCACTTTCATTCCAGTTAACTCTTAAAAACTTTATCAATTTTTAATAGTTTTTCCATGCATTCATTTAAATTTCAGAGCAGACTGAGTTTTTGTCCTTGAGAGTAACAACATGGATGGTTAGCTCACCAGCACAATATCAGTTATTTCCAGAATTATGCAGGGTAGCACATCTGTAGAAAGTCTCCATGTTACTTCCCAGACTAGACCATGTTTAATACAATAAACCAGACCATAAAGGTTCTCCCTCTAGAAAACTGAATTTCAAGAATATTAAGGCAGCAGCCCTTCTTTTCTGCATGTGCTTCTAGAATAACGTGAAGTTGCTGCCATTCAAACCATCGTAACTGGGTAACTTGACTAGGGAACAGAGGGTAGGAAAAATGCTACACCAAGGTATCTGGCCTCTGCTTTCTTCAATTGAGCACTCTCCACATTGATTAAAGTCTAGTCTTCGTGGCTGGTTAAGCCTGGAGCCTGCAATGCAGGCATTTGCTGTCTCTTCCCACAAATTCAAAAGCCCTTTGAAATGATTAGCATCAGAAGCGGGTCTGGAACCACTATAACCAGTGTGAGAATCGGGGACTGACACAAAGACCCTTATCAAGTGGCCAGATTTTAAAAGTGATCTGGATAATGGGAAGGGCAGAAGGGGGAAGCTGACAGAAGCTCAAAGGAGGCATAAAATTCTCTTGCCTGGAGCTTAAGGTTCACTATGAGGAGCATGTTGGTGTCGGTGAGACTTTTCCTCGGCACCCCACAGTTACTAATTAATGACTAATTAGCAGGCTGAGCAGAAGGCAGGATGGCCCAAGGTGAAACTCCCTGGCTCTTCCCAAGTGCAGTAGTTCAGGAGGTAAGAAAACTCAAATTCCCAAAAGAAACTAAGCCAAGAGCACCGGGATGTGCTACAGATCTCCTTATGTTCAGTCCACAGAAAGCATAGCAGAGAAAGGTCTTTTGCTCACTGACCCAGCCCTTTCTGTGGAAATAGCAAAAGAAATAGCAGTAGGAAAGCAAGAGAGGGGTACTGAATAGAGTTCACAAATCTGAAATGGATATGTTAGGTAGGAAGTCAGAAATTGAGCCTATGTGTGTACGAGAAGGGCCTGAAGACCAGCACCTACTGTGGAAGCTCCAGAAGCGCAGCATCTTGCACTTCAAAGTCCTGTCCAGATCCTGAAGACTGTCCAGGGAGTCCTGACCTTTCTACCCGATAATCTTCCAAGTGCAGCCTAGTATCTGCACTTCAAAGTCCCGCCCGGATCCTGATGACCTTCCAGGGGGTCCTGCTTCTTCTACCTGGCCTGATAAACATTCTTCCTCTAAGGTGGGGCGATGCCAGTCAGGCTTCCCCTGTCTGATAGCTTCAAGGGGAAAAACTCAGAAAGAAATGTTTCATATTTACACATAACAAGTCCTTTGTTCCGGAGAAGAAGGAGATGTGGAGAGAAATGGCTGCAGGAAGGCAAGACCCATCCTCTTAAAAATCCCAGCCTAAATGTGAACTAAACACTCTTTCTCAGGTCCCGTCTGGAGAGGTGCCCATCCATTCTTATGGATGTCCCTATCCTAATAAACCTTGCTATGTTGCTTTCCACTGCTTTCTGTCTCACACCTGAATTCTTTCTTGCGCGAAGACAAGAACCCTTTGCTTCTCTGGTAACAGATACATTTAGTTTTCTTAGATTCAAAACTGAATTATTCTAAAAGGTCTGTACTAAATATTTTCCCTCCTAGGAAAATCTAATCTTCAATTTCTTTCACCTGGAGTGAACATACTGCGAATTCAATGAAATACTGTTTATTGATAGAATAATTAGACATCTCTTTTTAAAAATTTATGTCTGATTTTCAAATACTGACCATATTCAAGTCTGAATCATTTCAGTTCACTTTTTGAAAATTCTTGCTAAAAATTCTATTACATTCCTTTACTTGGTTTAGAATTCTTTGTTTCCCATTAATATTTGCAGGCTACTTTGGAAAAAATAACTTATTCAGAGGAAACAGATCATATATAAATATCAGATAATTATATGCAAGTCTAAGAAGAAACAATATTGTATTATCTTAACAAAATTTGTTGAGCAGAATGTTTATTAGCAATATCAAAATTGATAAAGCAAAGCAATTCCATCACAAATGAAACACAAAAGCATCCAGGATCATGGATGAGGGGTCATGGAAATGACATCATTCAAATCAATCTAAGATGATTATCAACTAAATTCTGGTTCTCTTTATGACAAACATGGGAGAAAAACTAAAAGGAGACAAATCAAGCATGGAAATCAAGCTCCAGACTAAGGGAATATAAAAAGGAAATAGGGGGCCAGCCCTGTGGCGCAGTGGGTTAACGCCCTGGCCTGAAGCGCCGGCATACCATATGGGCGCCGGTTCGAGACCTGGCTGCTCCACTATGGCTCTCCGCTAGGGCCTGGGAAAGCAATAAGAAGATGGCCCAAGTCCTTGGGCCCCTGCACCCACATGGGAGACCCAGAGAAGCTCCTGGCTCCTGGCTTCGGATCAGCGCAGTTCTGGCCGTTGCGGCCAATTGGGGAGTGAACCATCAGATGGAAGACCTCTCTCTTTCTCTGCTTCTCCTCTCTCTCTGTGCAACTCTGAATTTCAAATAAGTAAATAAATCTTTAAAAAAAGAAAAAAAAGGAAATAGGAAGGATGGATTCAACCATAGCTGTGTTTGATGTACCAACCCTAATGTAGCTAAGGCAAGTTCAAGAGCATTAGAAAGTCACACTGAATGTAGGCAAAACTCTGATTTAATTAATTATCAGCAATCTAAGTATCCCTTATTTCTCCTTTTCCAATCACATCACTTACCAAGGCCCATAGGTCTCCCTCCAAATGTCTCCAGAACCAAGACATGGCCAGGTGGAAATTCAGTTCTCCATCTCCCCCCACTTGCACAGGAGAATTCACTTTCTGCACCTTCTCTCCAGTACAGCTTCTACTCAAGACTGATGTTCCCACTACTGCCCTGCACAGAAGCCTCTAGTAGTACAGTGTAACACAGAAGATGGAATAAGGTAGAACTCTCCAAAGTTTTGCTTAAAGCAGTGTTTGCAATGGAGTCAAAGAAATCACCTGTGATACATGGTTGAAGACAACCCTAAGGAGCTATATCTGTATGAGAACTCTTGAAACCAGACAACTGATAACTTCTGCCTGATCTCCACACAATCAGTCTTAGTATGTGGGGGTACACATGTGTGAAATAGCTATTGGGTAACTTATACTTGCACCCCACCAAGGGGTAGAGTATTTGTGGGTCTTGCTCCTGAGAATCGTCTCCAGAAAAATCTCTTTGCCAAGGCCCATCTTCTCTAGAAAGAATACACCTTCCTGTTTCTTACCTCATATCTAAAAATGCTCCTTGCTTAGTCAATTCCATTTCCCTAACTTGAAAAAGGGAGATAACTTTTATTATTTTTTTTTAATTTGAAAGGTAGAGTTAAAGATAAAAAGAGGAAGAGATAGAGAGTTTTTGCATCCACTGGTTCACTTCCCAAATGACCACAATGGCCAGGACTGGGTCAGGCTCAATTCAGGAGCCAGGAGCTTTTCCCATGTCTCCCAAGTGGGAACAGGGGACTAAGTAACTAGGCCATCTTCCACTGCTTTCCCAGGCACATCAGCAGAGAGCTAGATAGGAAGTGTAGCAGATGCCCACATGGGATGCCAACATTGCAGGTGGTGACTTAACCCACTATGCCATAGTGCCAGCCCTGATAATTTTCTTTAAAGTTTAATTCAGAGACATATGAAGAGCTGGCAGTGTGCTGCAGCAGGTTAAAGACTGTACACTAACTCCTCATGCAGGACCTCTGCCCTCAATGACTTATATTGAGAGTTAAACTGTAAACCCTGTTCTCAAACAGTTTATGTGTGTGTGTGTGTATGTGTATACAAATTGTTGAAATCTACTTAGTATAGAGCTGCTCTTCTGAGTATAAAGTTAACTTAAAATGAATCTTAATGGAGAATAGGACTGGCAAGCAGAGAGAGGAGGAGGAGGAGGGGTGGGAGTGTGGGTGGGAGGGAGGGTATGGTGGGAAGAATAACTAGTTGAACTTAAAAAATTTGTATTCCTTAAAACAAAAGACCAGAGATAAATACAGAAAACTAACAAGTTATACTACCAAGCTTTTGTATTTCAGATACCTATACATTCCATCTCAGTTGCCATAAAATACTACCTACCTACGTTTAATTAAACAAATAAGAAAGTATCTGTAAAGCCTTCAAAACAGAGCTTATTGTGTCCCGTTAAATAAATGTGATATACACAGCTACTTGAAACAGGTGTGAAAATGAGGTAGAGTGAGGAAGAATGATTGAACTTTGGCTGACAAAAGTTGGGAGTGGGCATTGTGGCACAGCACTGTTTGTGATCCCCACATACCATATCAGGGTGTCAGTTTGAGTCCTGGCTTCTCTGCTTCTGATCCAGCTTCCTGTTAATGCTAGAGAAGGCAGAAGAGGATAGCCCAAACACTTGGGTTCCTGGCACCCATGTGCCTCCTGGCCCAGTATTCACTGTTGCAGTTTTTTGGGGAGTGAGCTGATGGATGGTCTCTCTCTCTCTCTCTCTCTAGATCTCTAGATCTCTATCCCTTTGCCTTTCAAATAAATAAATATTTATAGGACAAAAGTTATGTTTAATTCCAGAATGTTCTCTGGCCCCAACATATAGTAAATTGAACAGTTTCAAGGCAATTTAACTAAAGTTCTCCAAAACAAATATTTGAATTCAACCATATTTTTGAATGATCTAGCTAAATTAAGTGCTGAGAAAGGGAAGTAAGTCTGTTCTTAAATCTAAAAAGCCTGTTGGAACTGACTGGATTAAAATGCACAAGCAAGAATCAGTGGTAGACTCTTGGAAAACAGGGTTTCTAATATTCTAGAAACTTGGCGAAAGATGTTGTTCAGGAATCAGTCAATGAACTGATCTTACTTTCTTCCTCTAATTGAAAATGTGGACTTGATTGACTTTAAGAACTAGGACATTTTCATGTTTACAAAAATTTTAATAAATGTAAAACACTGATAATCAATCTTCCTAAAGGAGTCTCAGCACAAAAACCTGTGGTACCACCAGGATCAAGGACTTAGTTTCAGATCTGGAAACAGTCTACAACTGCATATGCCCATGAGGGGACCAGAACATCCATCAAACTTTTGCTATGATAGGATGTGTTCATTTCCATGCTGTCTGGTAAACCCACTTCTGCTAATTCTATATACTTAGCTAATTAAATGGAAATTGTTTAAACTTTTTAAAATTGTTTATTTATTAATGATTAATTTACTTGAAAGGCAGTTAAACACACATACACACACAGAGAGAGAGACAGAGCGAGAGCTAGCTTCCATCTGCTGGAAAGGCAGAATGAGACACTAGAGAACCTTCAGGGAGGGGCATATAGAAACTCAGAAGCAAACACATGCAAAACTTGCCATTATTCACGCAATTAACACTGCCCTGAAGTAAGATACACACACAAAATATCTAATGCACTCCTGACATAGAAAATGCTCGTTAAGAGCCGGCGCCGTGGCTCACTAGGCTAATCCTCCACCTTGCGGCGCCGGCACACAGGGTTCTAGTCCCGGTCGGGGCGCCGGATTCTGTCCCGGTTGCCCCTCTTCCAGGCCAGCTCTCTGCTATGGCCAGGGAGTGCAGTGGAGGATGGCCCAGGTGCTTGGGCCCTGCACCCCATGGGAGACCAGGAAAAGCACCTGGATCCTGGCTCCTGCCATCGGATCAGCGCGGTGCGCCGGCTGCAGCGGCGGCCATTGGAGGGTGAACCAACGGCAAAGGAAGACCTTTCTCTCTCTGTCTCTCTCTCTCACTGTCCACTCTGCCTATCAAAAAAAAAAAAAAAAAAGAAAAAGAAAATGCTCGTTAAAGCTAAGTTATACTTTTTCCCACTATTTATAATGTTTCCCATTAATTATACAAGCATTTAAGAATTATTTCAATAAATTTATACCAGCAAGAGTAATGGAAAGCCAAGTGCAGGAAATCAGAAAGGCATACACACACAAATACTTCCTCTCTCCTTAAGAAGCTTATGATTTAGCAATATTAACTAAAAAGACACAAAACAGCAGAAATAAATTGACTACAGCATTTTCTTGATAAAAGTTCTTCCTTTTTGGATAGGAGTATATCTCTACATTAACAACCATGACTTCTAAGTTTTCAAAAATCTCAAATCATGTGTTTACTACAGGAGTGTGGATTAAGAGAAGCCGTAGGAGATAATGCAAAAGGAGGCCATATTCACTGCACTAAATTAATGTAGAAAAAGCAAACGACTCTGATGCTCTTACATTGAATGCATGCACTATGCCATCTTTATCACCTATGTTGTCCTCTGTTATTCAGGCATTGCTTCCGCTGGCTATTTGTCTAATTTACTTGGGTGCAAAGTGATTATCCCTAAGGTAACTATAGTTTGATTTGTATAGCTGATTATTGGCATTGAAGAAGGAGTGGCTCCCAGTCTCAAAACCATTTTACTTTGTCTTTTCCTTTAAAACATCTATGCAACATTCAAATAAATGGGTTAGGAATATATACAATGGAACCATCAGAAATATAGCCAGTAAATGGGCCACACTGGATCATGGCAAGGGTGGTAAAGCCTACAATCATAAACACCTGTGCACACATTCACATACAGTCGTGAATGGGGCATTATAGTACAGAAATCCAGTGTTCTTTGTACTTGTGACAATGAACTTGAGAAGATGGAATTTCTCAATTTTCCATACCTTACACCCTTGCCTGCTAATCTTTATGCTCCTATATCTCTGTGCCTCAATGGCAACTGCTGTCATGGCAACTGACAGGGCCACTTGTTTGGCTAGCTGCCCATGACCCTACTATGTAATGGCTTGGCTCCATGTTCATATAATAAGCTTGGGGAGGGGAACATATCTGGGTTCAGATACCTCATCACAGTCCAGTCAGCTGCCACTGGACAAGTGGTTGTATTCCTATGTGTATTTTCACTTACCACTTACCACATAAAAGAGGTTATGGACCTGCTCAAAGCTCCTATATTGTTCTTTGGCCTGCTGAACCTGGCCCTAGTTTCTCAGAAGTCAAACTCCTGAATTACACTTGGCATAGTCAGCAGGATTTGACTTAGGCCCAAACAGTGGAGCCTTCTTCAACCTTGTAGGACAGAATTCAGGGGTGGCTGGTTAAAAGTGTGTGGTACTGGGTGGCCAAGCTCATGCCAAGAATTGATTACAGTGGATAACTGACCCCCTTGTGTAAAACAGGCATTGAATATTCCTGGAAAAACTTTTGATAAGGAAGATGCTTGAATGGCTGGAACTAAGGGCTGAATCTTTCTAACTGCTCTACAATCAGAAAATGATTAGATTGCAGGTGGAGTCTCAGGAGTCACTGGAGACAGTACTACAACACAAAGGGTGAAAGGAGACAGATCTGCACCTGAGGGAGGGGCTGAAGCCCTTCAGGTTGCAGCTGATACCAGATAACCCACTGATTGTAATGGGTACACATTCCAGTGATAAAGAGGACACACTTGAGCTTCCTAAATTGCTCAAGGCCCATCTGGGGATTACCCAAAAGATAAAGAGGTAGCAAGCAAGGACTCCTGCAGGACTCCTCCCCTCTGACTGCTGAGCACTCAGTGTTCCACCTGTACACTCAGGCAGAGCTAGCAGATCTGTAGCAAAATTCACAGAGAATCCTTCTGAATCGATTGCTGCTTAGTGGCTCTGCTTATGGGATGTAGGGATGTATGGCATTTTGCTCTCAGGGTTAGAGAGGGACAAAATGGCATCTCTGTGCACTCCGCTCTAGACCAGAGGTTCTAGACTGCCCATCAAACAGCAAGGAAGCATTCTCTTTAGAATTGGTTCATGGCTGCTGCTTGCTTGGTTTGGTCTAATTCTGAAGATTTACCTGGGGCTATCACTAAGTGGCAGATGAACACTGAGTTACAGCAAGTGCATGACGGGCATGCATAATGCTATCTATAATACTGGAATTCACAGACCAGAAAATGAAGTTTTCATGGCAGCAATGAGGAATCTTAGGTGGCAGACTGCTCCCTCTTTTTGTCTGTTTCCTTGATGGCAATAGTAGCGCTATATTTGGGACAGCCTATCAATGTGATTGTCGATGGTGTTGCTGATTTGGGAGAGGCCAAGACACCATGCAGGTGAAAGGGGATGTGAACTACAACTCAACACACACACACACACACAAAAAACGGGAGATGACCAATCAAGGTCACTCAAACTAAGATGTGGGTTGATTTCCTGGCAGCAGGGTCAAACAGCAAAAAGTTAGATGTACAGACTAACAAGGTATTGTTGAAACTGTGGCAGCAACTGAAAACCAGAACAATGGTTCTGGCCATTAGGCGGCATAATGACAGCAAAGGAACTAACTGGATGTCAGGAGCCCAAGCAGTGCAGCTCCAAGATTTTCTGAAGGACTTTGAGCTGTCTGGAAAAGCCACTGGTGACAAATGGGCATTTAAATTTGATTAGGAAGGTCAAGATACCCACTGGAATGGGACAGATGGGACAGATGGAGACTAGACACCACACGTGGAACTCACCATCCACTGATCTTTCTCAAATGTTCAGGGAGTGCTGGCAATGGCTGATAAATGTACATTACTGCATGGCAACCCTGAAAGTTTCTTGGGGCCCCAGCAGCCACAGATAGCTTTGGAGGACACTCTATTCAAGCAAAGGCAGTAAAGCTGCCTTTGGAAATAGGGTATTTACCAACCAGGAATATACTGAGTATATGTCCCCCATACATGCAGGGTCTATGGCTGAAAATTACAGTGGGGGGAGTTCTGCCTGTGAACGCATGTGGTTAAAACAGTGCTGAGGGGGCATGCTGACCACCTACCACTATAGCAACCCACACCAAGGCAAGTGACCAATATTAAATACTACAAAAGGCCAGGGGGTCATGAAGAAGTTATTACTGAAACTATCCAGAAATTGGAGGAGGTGTGCATTATTAAGCCTATGCATAGCCCATTTAACACCCCAGTATGGCCTGTGAAAAAACCAGAAGGAACGTGTAGGGTGATGACACGTTACTGGGAGCTTAATAAAGTTGCTCCTTCTCTGCATGCAGCAGGATCATCATGGGCTGCCTCAGCTATGGACGTGGAACTTACTATTTTGTCTTAGATCTGGATAATATTTTCTGTTCCACTGAGAGTCAAGATCAGTTCACCTTCACATGGGATGGATGGTAATGGACTCTCAGTGTTCTTCCACCTTTATCACAGCAGCAAAGTTCACATGGTGGCCTATGACTGTTCATTAAACAGAAGATATGATGTTAACTGGTGACTGTCTTGCAGATTTGGAAGCAGCTATTCCTACTTTGTTGAACCATCTAAAGTCAAGTGGCTGAGCAATCAATGAGTCCAAAATGCAGAAACCTGGGCTCTATCAAATTTTTGGGAGTTATTTAGTCTGGTAAAAGCAAGGTCATTTCTGAGGAAGCCATAGATAAGATTTCCACGCTCACTCAAACTTACCCTAAGGGTAAAGCTAGAAACGTGCCATGGGACTCCAAATCCCATTATGTTGGCAGGTACCAATGCCATTTTACTAGTTAAATTGATCATAAAGAGAGGATTAAGTGTCAAAGGGATCACATAAATAAGACCAGTGTCTGCTAATACTAATTGATAGAATTAAAAAGGTCCAACATGAGAAGCAGGATACACAGCAGACTCACAGAATGGCAAATGCCCTAAACAGTACTCTGGCCTCAGAATCAGCCCTTAAGGCATTCAGATCTGGCTAAAAAGCCCATGAGAGTTTCACAGGCATGGAAAGCCAAGACACTCTCGCAAACAAACAAACAAACAAAAAAAACACCTAAATGAAAGATCTCTATGAGTAGGATCCCAGTGGAAAGAATGGACCATCAAAGAAGGAGATACCTTTCTCTGAAGGGAGGAGAGAACTTCCACTTTGATTATGGCCTTGTCTAAATAAGGTCGGAGTTTGTGAACTGAAGAGGCTTCCACAGCCTTGGCAGCTCATGATAAGAGCCTTGGGTTATTACTGACATCATAAATGAGGGTGTCAATTGTTAAATCAACAACAGGAGTGCACTTATTCCCCATGTAGAATATCTGTCCTTAGTGTGTTGTACTCTGAGAATGAATGGTAAATATATTCTCCAAACAGTACATTATACTTTGTGTGTCTGTGTGGGTGCAGAATGTTGAAATCTTTACTTAGTATATACTAAGTTGATCTTCTTTATATATAGATAATTAAAAATGAATCTTAATGAAGAATGGGATGGGAGAGGGAGTAGGAGATGAGATGATTTGTGAGTGGGAAGGTGGTTATGGGGGGTAAAACCGCTATAATACAAAAGTTGTACTTTTGAAATTTATATTTATTAAATAAAAGTTTTCTTAAAAAAAAAAAAAGACTATATGCCAGATGTGGGTAACCACAGGTTATTGAAAGTGACCATGGGACCCATTTTACAGGCTCTGGAGTGTAAGACTGGGCTAACTGCCTAGGTATTGGATTACACCATACCATTCCTAGGCAGCTGCAACAACTGAGTAACATAATGGTCTAGTAAAGCAAGGCCTCAGAAAAGGCTCTATAATTGGATGGAGCAACACAGACTGTGTTACAGTTCTTGAATGAAAGGCCTTGGGCAGCAGCATTGGTTCCGGTGGAGGTTTTGCTGTATTAATCAACAGCACCCATCCAAATGAAGGTACAAACCACTCGGCCTTGAGCCAGGGGAGCATGCCACCTGGCAGCGGCCATGGAAGATAGGGAAAGCAAATAGTGCCTGGATAGCTTTGCTATCACAGTGAGGAGTAGGACTGGAGTATGACCTGGAGGTAACACTGTGGGTGACAGCCACTTGGCTCCCTATGGTCAAGGTACATTTTACACACATGGAAGGGGCCACTACCTTGCTCAAGGGTATATCTGTTTCAGTTTTATGGAGAATGCTAACATCTCTAGTACCCCTACTTGTAGAAGAGTACTCAGAAAAGGCTATGCCCCGGGAAGTCTGGTATAAGAGACCAGGGCAAATACTTTCGCCAGCTACAGTATTATCTCAAGATAAATCACTTGCTTGGGTTTTACTTGATGGCCAGGATTTGCCATTGATGATACCTGTGGGGAGCAATCCGGACTAGACTGTTGCTCGAATTAAGACTTATTCTATGCATCTGCTCTCCCACAATATGGCGCTGGGAGAGAAGTAAACGGCTTCCGCACAGCTGCCTCCAGTTCAACCAATTAACTGTAGGACTTGCTCCTGATTGGAGAGCAGCGTACTCAGCCGAGTTGGGATTGGCGGAGGAGGACTATAAAGGAGGAGAGAGACGGCATGCACCAGGAACATCTATGGGGAACATCTGAGGGAATCCGTGCAGCCCCCGAGAGAACCGGCCGGCGGTGTGCCGCTCCCCTGCGGAAGTGGGGAATGCGGCCAGGGGGAACTGCCCTTCCACGGAGGTGGAAGGGATAGTAACCAACCCGGGAAGAACCAGCAGCAAACCCGGGGAGGGCCGAGCAGACGAAAGAACAGCGCAGGGTCCTGTGTTGCTCCTCCACGAAGACGGGGAGCGACAGATACCAATAACCACTTTGTCTTACCCCCTTAGCCTGGTGGCTACAAATACCATGAACAACAGTAACCACAGCTTGTTGAGCATGTACCAAGCTACCAGCCAGCTCTGCAACTGGACTGCCTTGGAATTCAACTACAACCACTGACCACAACTGGATTTCAATAGAAAGCTGGAGTTCTTCTGACCCACTGTAAAACCATATCTGGCCTCATGTGAAGATTTTAGTTTTGGAAGCAGTGAAAAACCCAGGCAGGGTTGGGGTATCCTGTATGGGATGATGTGAGTTGGCTTTCTGAAAAGGAAATAGAATTCCTCTCAAGTGTGCCAAAATGCACAGAACAAACAAGGAATGGGTTCCAAATGGGATGGACACCTGCATCTTTGTGTAAGACTACATAGTACACATCTAAAGATACCAAATGGGGAAAGCAAGATCCTAATGTTAAAGTTAAAGCTCATCCTGTGTTTTCAGGTGCCTTATGTACTTGTGGATGGATCTTATGGTTGGCCTAATATCTGGGTAGAATGCTATTTGTGGAGATGGCCCTATTTACCTGGGAAGTGGGTCCCCATACTTCCCAACTTGCCTTTCAACTCAGATACCTTCAAGGCTCAGCACTGAGTAAAACACACAGCATGGTGGTATTATCCAGTTGTCCTACTCTCCCAACATGTAGCTACTATGGTCACACGAGCGGAGGTTATTGCATTGAAACTGCATAAACCCTGGCCTTTAATACAAGTAACAAGGCCTTGGGTCTCTTGAATGAGGAACTGTATCAAGTAAGAAAGGTTGTTTTCCCCAAAGATCAATGATGGAACTAGGACAAACGGCTCAGCCATTCTCCCCCCTTGCCCAAAAGAGATAAACTTTGGAATGTATTCCTTGCTCTTGAAACTCAACTGGGTCTCACACCCTATTGCCTTCATACCCCACCCTGCATTCTTTCCAGGTTCCCAAGGCCTCGCCCAGTTCCTGAATTCCCCTACACCTGCTGTCCCCTACCTCCACCACCAGCCCTTCTGCCACATGCTCCATCCTGTACATGCAAGCAGCTGGTCACCCACCTCTATGGATTTATTTTCTCTAAATAATTCGGTCTAGCTGTAAATTTATACACTACCTCCTCTCTATTCTGTGACTCTTTTCCTAACATTCTGGTGCCCTGGGTGAGGAGGTGCCAATCTGCAACTCTTTTTCTAACATCCAAGAACTCTGAGTTAGGCATTTCGATAGAACTCCTGCATGGAAATGAAGGATACCAGATCTCTCCTTACAGGCTCTGGTGACACGTCAGATCAGAACCCAGGAGCCCTGTGTGGTTCTTATAAATTTCTATAAATTTCCTTTGGATATTGGAGCAACTTTGTCTGTCCTTTGCTCTAGCTTTGGACCCCTCTCTTAGATGGTAATCATAAAGGGTGTCTCAGGAGACCCCAAGTTAGATACTTCACCCAATCTTTGAGCTGTGTCTGGAATGATCTAATATTTACTCACTCCTTTTTGATCACACCAGAGAGCCCAGCACCTTTTCTAGGTAGAGATAACCTGGCCCACGGTTCTTATAGGACCAGGAGAGACTTTCTGCCTCCATCTAACAGAGATAGGCATCAATCCAGAAGTTTGGAGTGTCCAGAGAAAAGTTGGTCAGGCTATAACTGCTCAGCCTGTCTAGCTTCATCTTAAAGACCTGTCCTCCTTTCTTTATCAGAGATGATATCCACTAAAGCCTTAGACTTGGAAAGCATTAAGCCATAATAGACAATCTCAAAGTCCAGGAACATTTAAAGCCATGCAATAGTCCCTGCCAACATTCCAATTCAAAAGCCAAACGGAGAATGGAGATTGGTACAGGATCTCCACCTCATTAATGAGGCAGTGGTGCCCATACCTGCTGTGTTCCTACTGTGTTCCTGCTGTGTTGCTACTCTGTCTCACATCTAAATTCTGTCTTGAGTTAAGACAAAATCTCTCTTCCAGCCAAAGTCTCTTGGCTGGAAGAGTATCTAAAAAGAGGCCTAGGCCAACTTACTCTCCCTCAATCTCTCTCCCGGCTTTGGCTTGATTGATCTACCCCCCTCTGTTTCATCTCAATTGTCAGGAAGTGTGTGTGTGTGTGTGTGTGTATGTGTATGTGTGTTGGGGTAGGGGGGAATGAGGGTATTGCATTGGTTCAGCAGTCAAGGTCCAACAACTGGTCTCAGGCAGCCCTCCCTAAAAAAAGGTTGCCATGTGTCTCATTCTCCCTACCTCCTTAGTCACCATTTTGAAAAAGACATGTGCAAGAACTCATCATTGTCATAACAGGGTTTTAACCACTGCCTTTTTTTGTTTGTTAACTTCTAACCAACAACCAGACTTCCTGCAGGGCCATATTTTCTGATCTCACATTTAAGCTTTTTGCTACACTGAGAAACATGGGCACCCTGGCTGCTCTCAGAGTCCACATTTTCTTACTGGGTAAATTATAGAAGTTTCTCTGCAGACCTATTTAAGACTATTCTGTCCTCCAGTCTTCAATATATGCCTGTAACTGTATTACAAGCTTTGTGTTATCCAGGACTAAACAAGTAGAAGGCATCAAACTTCAGGCAGTACTCCAGATCATGAGAAAAGAAAGCAGTTACCTATCCCACCCTTCTGATGTTTTTTTTTGTTTTGTTTTATCATGAGCAGGCTAGACAGGATTATAACTCCAGGCTTCTGATGGGATGTCTCTGATTATTATTCCCTGAATTGTGATTAAAAGACTCCACTTCAATCAGTGTCTGGGGTCTTCCTCCCTTAGAGCCCCCCTAAGGCTTCTGGGGAAGGAGATTTCTGACAAATCTTTCCTCGCTCCAAATAAACAAACAAACAAATTAAAAAACAAGGAAAAAGATCGTTTTGCAAGACTGCATGGCATTAGATACTCTTTACAGCAGCTGAAGTTGGTATGTGTGCCATGCTAAAGACTGAATGTTGTGTATTTTTCATGACATTCATTAAATTTTACCCAAGGCCTTGCTGCTTTAATGTGAAAAACACTGCACATTGAACAACTGACTGGAGGTTCCCTATGAGATGTGTGGATGTCCCTTACAAGCTGATGGTACAATCCTGATTGTTACTGTATTGCATGTTCACTTGTCATTTGTTGCTATAGCTTGCATTGCTGTTGTGGTCATTGGTTCCACATTCCATGTGTGCTCCTTACATAGGGCCCTTGACTGAAGACAATGTACATAAAGAATTGTGAGGCTGGCGCCGCGGCTCACTAGGCTAATCCTCCACCTAGCGGCGCCGGCACACCAGGTTCTAGTCCCGGTCGGGGCGCCGGATTCTGTCCCAGTTGCCCCTCTTCCAGGCCAGCTCTCTGCTGTGGCCAGGGAGTGCAGTGGAGGATGGCCCAGGTGCTTGGGCCCTGCACCCCATGGGAGACCAGGAAAAGCACCTGGCTCCTGGTTCCTGCCATCGGATCAGCGCGGTGCGCCGGCCGCAGCGCGCCAGCCGCGGCGGCCATTGGAGGGTGAACCAACGGCAAAGGAAGACCTTTTTCTCTGTCTCTCTCACTGTCCACTCTGCCTGTCAAAAATAAATAAATAAATAAATAAATAAAAATAAAAAAATAAAAATAAAATAAAAAAAGAATTGTGAGACCAGGAAACTAGAAGAGGTGGAGTGTTGCAGAAATAAACTTGGGAAGATGGTATTTCCTAAGTTTCCATGCTTTATGCCCTTGCCCCTTTATCTCCATGCTCCCAGATCTCTGTGCCTCTGTGGCAACCGCTGTCGTGGTAATCCACAGGTCCACCTGTTTGGCTAGCTGCCTATGACCCTGTTATGAAATGGCTTGCCACTTTTCTCTGTATGTTCATATAAGAAGTTGGGGCAGAGGGAAGAGTGGGGTTAAGGGTCCGAGGCTGGGTATGGATACCTCACTGCAGTCCAGTCAGCCACCACAGGATAAGTAGTTATGCTCCTGTGTATATTTTCACCCATTGCTGTGAAAAAAGAGAACTTACACAAGATTCCTAAGTTGTTCTTTGGCCTGTCCAAACCTGGACTTAATTTCTCAAAAGTCAAATTGCTTAATCACAACAGTGCTTCCTCATCACCTTAGGCAATTTCCTAACAGTCAAATTTTTATCTCAGGAGGAAAGCTGCCCCTGTAATGTTTCAAATTATATGATGTACCCCTCAAACTTTACAAAGTATACCAAGCTTAAAGTAGATCTATATGGGACAGCAGTTTCTAAATCACCTCTAAGTCAAATATTTTCTCTCATTATTGTTTATGAAACACATTAATAACCTATACCTGAACCACACACCTGAGTTAAGAGGAATGAGGTCCTGATTAAACACCTGGATCTTTTTAATAACAACTTCACTGTAATCATCGGAAAGCACAGAGCTTTGGAATATTAAAAAGGGAAGGTATGATCCCAGCAAAGCTTTAGATGAACACTTCCAGCACATCTGAGGTTTGGAGTTTGGAATTCAACAAATAATAGCATATGGACTAAAACGGTATTTATATTCCAGCACCTGCAGCTAATTAACTGCACCTATTTGGGTAGAGAATTGAACCTCTCTGAACTTAAGTTTCTTACCCTGGAAACAGGAAAAACACTGCTCACGTGGCCCAGTTCACCTAAGATTGCAGCACTAGCAGCAGCAGAAGTAGTAGTAGTAGTAGTAGTAGTAGTAGTAGTAGTAGTAGTAACGCAGCTTTCATGTGTTGAGTGCTTACTCTGTGCTGTAAACTGAAAACAAAACAGTGAAGTGGGATCCCATTTTTTATAGATGAGGAAGCTAAACTCAGAGATAAGAATGTGTACAAGGTGGCACATCTGTCACTAGCAGAATCTAAGTGAGAAGACCAACTACTCCAATGCCAAGGGTCATGACCTTTTCACATCTCAAAGGGCATTCACATGGCCAATCTAAGGAGGCAGCGCTATTGACTACACACTGTAAATGGCAAAGCACCACAGTAAGTTAATTTGTTATACTGCATTTTATTTGCTACAATAGATTTTCTGCTGAATACATAATACTATTCTTAGCAAGAGCACATCAACTCAAGAAATGAAGGAAAGGGCACAGGTGAATGTGCAACATGAGACCTGAGACAATGCAAAGATACGGAAGATAACTTTAAAATAGATATAACAGCTGGTGACATCATTTTGTTCATTTGAGCATTCATACACATCTGCATAGAGTCACAATCCACAAACGTAAAATATTTTTCAAAACACCAATGGAAATCGCTGGGATCATTACAAAGGGCTGAGAAATTTGTTGTTTCTGGATCATTGCTCTACAAGCCAATACTGACAACTTATTAGATTGCTTAGGAGATGTTGTGAGAGACACAGAACAAGCATGTTAGGCTGCAAACTGCCTGTGGTCATGTCTGCCCGGGATAACAAAGAGGAGCAAGTTAGCAAAGGTGGGAAGCTATAAAATGCTTTATCTCCTCTTAGTAGTCAAAAACAACAATGGTCAATTGGAGGCCAGCACCGCAGCTCACTTGGCTAATCCTCCACCTGTGGCGCCGGCACCCTGGGTTCTAGTCCCGGTTGCTCCTCTTCCAGTCCAGCTCTCTGCTGTGGCCCAGGAGTGCAGTGGAGGATGGCCCAAGCGCTTGGGCCCCTGCACCTGCATGGGAGACCAGGAGGAAGCACCTAGCTCCTGGCTTTGGATCGGCACAGCGCGCCAGCTGTGGCGGTCATTTGGGGGTGAACCAACAAAAGGAAGACCTTTCTCTCTCTCTCTGTCTAACTCTGCCTGTCAAAAAAATAACAAACAATGGTGAATTGGAAAGCTAACAAAGGCCTATCAACCGTCTCTACCCTCTCAAATTTTTTCTAAGCATTTAAAACAGAGTGAAGTTTTCACTCACCAAAGACAGGACAAGTACCTGTCCTTGGTGAATAAAATCTTTCCTCTGTTCATTTGGTTGCAAATACTCTTTTTTTAAAAATAAGTTCAGACCTGAGATGGAAAAGATGAAAAATAAAATAAAAATTGTACTCTACAGTTCTTATCTGTGTCTCTATGTTTTTATGAGTCTGTCCTCACTCCATCAAGAGCCTCCATGCAGCTTCTCACTTCCTCTATCAGGCAGCAAGGCCCCCAAAGCCCCTGCCTATGCTCTCTGTTCCTTTACTGAATGGGTGCTCTGTTTCTTCTAGAAGAGATGAAATAAAACCCTAAGGGCACACTGCACAGACACATGGTCTCATCACAGCATCATCTCAGGTAGTATTTTTCACATCACTTCCCATCCAGATACAGTGTCCCCTTTACCCTTAATAGACTATTTGATCACTTCAATCATACTTAGCAGCCTTGTTGGAATAAAGAGTTTCATTCATTCATCTGCTCATTCACTTATTCAGCTGGATAAATATTTACTGTGTACAGTCTGTACCAGGCACTGACAGGTTCTGGACAAATAACATAAATAATAATGTACAATCACTACCCTCACGCAACCACAGTCTGGACATGTCACCAATGAGTAATACTACACAGCAAAGTATATCAGGCCTGGTAGGTCTATAGGAAAAAATCTAGATACAGACTTGAAATCTTGGAAGAAAAGCAGACCTTACCACATTTGGGTTGACCTTATGTCTAAAACATGTGATGTTCACCACATAAGGCCAATCATCAGGCTCCATAAGTACCCCAGCAGCATGGGCACATGTGACATGGAAGGATGCTGGGCAGCGGCCATAGGAACATTGGATGCAGGCTCCAGAAACCTTCTTAACCCGGTGTCTGCAGAAGATACACTTCTAGAAAGATAAAACAGAGAAAAGCGTCAACTCACACTCTGCAACTCAACCACTTTCCGCAATTCAGAGAAGAATAGCTATTAGAGAGGGAAGACCGAATACAGCAACAAGTCCTGACTCTCTAGGGGCCAGAAGAGGGAGAGCATCTGTTGCAATCTACTCTGCTTGCTTTAAAGGAAACACACTTTTACAGTCACCCACTCCAGACATATGCTTAAGTACTTCTAGTGGTTAAGAAAGCCAAACTCTTTCAAACATGGTCCTCCCAGCACAGAGCTCAGAAAGGCCCCAAAGGCACACTTATAAATCACCCTGAATGCTAAAGCCACTTCTGTTTTACCTCCTGCATGGTGTGCCTCTCAGTACAGCAAGAAATGGAATACGGGTTTGGAAGACAAGCACACACACTCCTAGGCTGGATGAGATTGTCAGAAACACCCAAACAGCATACAGATGGCCTAACTTTTCCATTTACAAGGAAATGCAAAGTGTTAAATGGTCCAATGTGGAAGCTAGGGCTCAAGTGCTTAATAATCCAAATCTCAACCCTTCATGACTGACAGAAAAATATGCCTCCCAAAGTGAGAAAATGGAAAATCACCCTAAAGGGCATAATTTCATCAAACATTTATAGCTGATGATGCCTGGGGAAGAGAAAATGAAAACAAAAGCAGCAATAATGATTACCACAATCTGAAAATTAAATTGCATACAATTATCCCTAAACATTATCAGTACATTTGTTACAAGAGATAGGGAAAATCAAACAGCTTCACTACACATAAGATTTGTATACTAGTACTTGAGAATTGGGGAAGAAATGGCTATGGAACATCTTAGGCAAAGATGTGGAAATGAGAAGAAATGCAATGATCAGAAAACTCAAATTCATATTCCTGGAATTAAAAAGGGTCTGCCAGCTGATCAAATATTGATGCAATTGCTTTGGTATAGGTATAACCTAGCTTCCTTCTTGGGACAGTGAGGTTATTTAAATTAATGCCTTCTGGAGACTCTAATATTTCAATACAGCCCAGTAAGAATCAATGTACACTTAACTTCTACCTCTTCTTCGCATCCACATCCAATCAGCAACTCATTCTTACAGATTCTCTGTGCCTTAATCTTGCTCAGATTTCTCCTACCAATCTATGATAACTGCCAACTGCCTCTTTCCATGGTGTATTGCCCAGCACAGTAATGGCCTCCTAACTGGTCTCTACATCTTTTATTTCATTCCACTTCATCTCCCCCAACACTGCCAGAACAATCTGCATGCAGCTGTCATCCCACATCACTGCCCCAACACTGAATATCCTTTAATGAATTTTCTTTATCTCAAAGTCACTCTGCAAAAACAACCAAAAGGAACAGCATGAGACAGAAGTACAAAGCTTCGTAGTCCACTCGAACGTTCTTATTTCTTGCTAGTCCCTATAAGAACCCTAAACCTCAGGCACCTATATGATTTCCCTATACACCCAGATTTAATGTACAATTTATCAACTTTAACCGGAGGTTAAGGATGTGTCTTAGCTGAAAAGAAATTACAGACATACACACGCAGAAAACCACAGAACTAAAACAAGACCCTTCAAATCTACATAAAACAATTACTTATTAGGCTACTTATTACCTCTGGAAATCCTTAGTATCTGTTTCATACATTCTTGATAATTCTTGTCAGTTCCAAAATGTGATGGTAGATTTAACAGCAAAATCTCTCATCAAGAGTCCAAGACATAATCAGACACATTTTTTTTCCCCAAAGATTTATTTATTTATTTGAAAGTCAGAGTTACAGAGAGGCAGAGGCAGAGAGAGTTCCTCCATCTACTGGTTCACTCCCCAGATGGCCACAATGGCCGAGCTGCGCTGATCTGAAGGCAGGAGCCAGAGGCTTCTTCTGGGTCTCCCACGTGGCTGCAGGGGCCCAGGGTCTTAGACTATCTTCCACTGCTTTCCCAGGACATAGCAGAGAGCTGGATCAGAAGTGGAGCAGCCGGGACTTGAACTGGAGCCCATATGGGATGCCAGCACTGCAGGCAGCAGTTTTACCCATTATACCATAGCACCAGCCCCCAGACATACTTTTAAGAGTCTAATTACATAATAATAATACACAATACAGAGGGTTAGTGATTAAATAAAGTTCACGCCGGCACTGTGGCTCAATGGGCTAATCCTCCACCTTGCGGCGCTGGCACACTGGGTTCTAGTCCCGGTCGGGGCACCGGATTCTGTCCTGGTTGCCCCTCTTCCAGGCCAGCTCTCTGCTATGGCTTGGGAGTGCAGTGGAGGATGGCCCAAGTGGTTGGGCCCTGCACCCCATGGGAGTCCAGGATAAGCACCTGGCTCCTGCCTTCGGATCAGCGTGGTGCGCGGCCTCAGTTCAAATATTGACAGATGTGAACAAGGTGAACCTGTGTCCTATTTTCCTAATTAAACAGATGGTTTCAGAGAAAGAGAAAGGTCTGGCACTGAGGTGCATTGGGTTAAGTTGCTGACTGCAATGCTGGCAATCCCATATGCATACCAGTTTAATTCCCAGCTGCTCCAATCTGTCTGTCTCCCTCTCTCTCTGTCTCTAACTCTGTCTTTGAAGTAAACATTTAAAATAAAATAAAACCATTAAATTAAAATAAAATAAGGGAGCTAGCGTTGTGGTGTAGTGGGATAAGCAACTGCCTGCAATGCCAGCTTCCAAAATAGGCGCCATTCAAGACCAACTGCTCCACTTCTGTTTCAGCTCCCTGTTAATGCGCCTGAGAAAGCAGCAGAAGATGGCCCAAGTGTTTAGGCCTCTGAAGCCATGTAGGAGATCTGGAAGAAGTTCCTGGCTCCTGCCTTCGGCCTGGGCCAGCCTAAGCCATTGTGGTCATTTGGGGGAGTGAAGCAGCAGATGGAAGATCTCTTTCTCTCTCTCTTTCCATGCCTTTCTCTGTAACTCTGCCTTTCAAATAATTAAAACAAAATATTTTTAAAAATTAATTAAAAAATTTAAAATATGACAAAAAAGACCTGCTACCCTTAAAAAATAAATGAATGAATAAAAATGAGTACAAGAGAGTATTGACTTAGCTAATTAAAGCAGTAGCTCCTCAGGGCTGGTGTTGTGGTGCAGTGGGTTAAAGCTGCCCCCTGCTATGCTGGCATCCCACACATGTACTGGTTCAAGTCCCAGCAGCTCCACTTCTGATCCAGCTCCTATTAATGGCCTGGGAAAAGACACAGAAGATGGCCCAAGTTTCTGGCCCCTGGATGAAACTCCTGGCTCCTGGCTGTGGCTTGGATCAGACTAGGCTATTGCGGCCATCTGAAGAGAGAATCACCAAATGGAAGATTGCTCTCTTGAAACTCTTTCAAATAAACAAATAAATAAATCTTTAAAAAATAAAAGATCTAATGATCATCTGCCACCTCTTAAAAAAAAACTGAGTAAGAGAGAATGCTCTGAGTTCGCTAACTGAAGAAGTAGTTTCTCAGGGTTGGTGCAGTAGGTTAAGCTGGTTAAGCTGGGACACTGGCAATCCCATATGAGCACCGGTCGAATCCCAGCTCCTCCAGCTCTGATCCAGCTCCCTGCAAATGGGTCTGGGAAGGTAACAGAAGATGGCCCAAACGTTTGGATGCCTGCCCCATATGTGGGAGATCTAGATGGAGTTAGAGGTCCCAGGCTTCATCCTGGCCCAGACCCAGAGATTGCAGCCATTTGAAGAGTGAGCCAGTGGATGGAAACTTTCTCTGTGTGTGTCCTTTTCCCTAATTCTGCCTTTCAAATGAATAAATAAATGTTAAAAAAAAAAAAAAGTGGTTTATCCAAGCCTTGGCCGTAATTAACTTCCTCATTAAACTGGGCCCCTCCAAAAAAGAAGGAAGAGACAATGAAAACACCTTACACACAAGTTCTGTGAGGATTCACATCACAATCCAAGAAGAGACACTGGATTTCTAAGAAAAGAACCACAGAAGCCTTAGAAAGTCAATGTAACGGTACACTATTGTAAGTCAACGCTTTGGAAGATGCTTATTCACAGAGTTGAGAAGTTTGACTTAAACATCAAACAGATCTAGCAGAGAAGTCCCACAAAAATTATCAGTGGGTCCATTCTGAATGTATTCTGTCAACATAGTGTTTCCAAACCCATTCTCATTTCTTGTTGCTAAACCATATTTTTTCCACTCTGACTGAAACATTTGTGGAAATCTGACACTTCTATATGTCTGGGCTATAGAATCTTATTCAGTAGGTCAAAGATATCTAAGACAAATAAGACATACCTCAAGAATGCTACAACGGAGTAAATGCTATGAAAGAAATAAGGACAGGCCTGCGCCATGGCTCACTTGGCTAATCCTCTGCCTGTGGCGCTGGCACCCCAGGTTCTAGTCCAGGATGGGGCACCGGGTACTAGTCCTGGTTGCTCTTCTTCCAGTCCAGCTCTCTGCTGTGGCCCGGGAGTACAGTGGAGGATGGCCCAAGTACTTCGGTCCCTGCACCCGCATGGGAGACCAGGAGGAAGTACCCGGCTCCTGGCTTCGGGTTGGCACAGTGCTGGCCGTAGTGGCAATTAGGGGAGTGAACCAACGCAAGGAAGACCTTTCTCTCTGTCTCTCTCACTGTCTATAACTCTCTCTCTGTCTCTCTCTGACTGTCTAACTCTGCCTGGCAAAATATAAAAAAATTAATAAGGAAAAAGGACATATGAAATCAAAATGACTGGTGCCAAGAGTCATCTTGAGATCAAGAGAATGAAAAAGGCTTTAAAGCAATGTGAAGACTGACAGAATCAACATGGTAGCCTCGGCCCCTGATTCAGTCTCAAACCCTAAATAAATATGCAGAGAAAAGAATAAAACCATCATAGCTCTAAAAAATAAGAAAGGGAACCATGAGAGGACCTGAGAATGTATAGAATTCCTAGACCATAGGAAAAGGATGGAACTGATTAACAGGAAAACCAAATTATATAAACACTAATCCAAAAAAGAATAGGCAAAGGCTACTGACAGATATGAACAGTTCTCAGTCCAAGGCCTCAAAGACACTCTAAAGAATTAAAAGAAAGGAAACCCTGGGTCAATAGGAGGTAATTACTCTATTATAAAAACAGTACCATTTGTATGTTTCTAAAATTTTTTATACATATTAAGCTTGATAAGCACTGGTTTTTTTAGACACTTGGGTAAACAGTTTAATGCATATATCACAATGCATACTCACAAAATTTACAGTGCTATAACTGGTATATTATACACACAGAATACCCCTTATAACAACAAAACCACAAGGTTGTTACAGACAATCTGTACTGAAGTCATAAGCATTGTTGTAAGACAACTGGGTTAGTCAGATTTTCTTTGTTGCGGGGCTACTGAGACATTGATGATTGGGAAACAAAGTGAATAAGCAAGACCATTGCCCAGAAAGGCCTCCCTTGTCATCAGTCATCAGCAGCAGGTGAAGCCTATCAAAAATCCAAATCCTGGATCCAAACCAGCATTCACCAACAAGAAAAGTACATAAAAAGAAAATATACCTCAATATATGCATCTGAACTATGAACAGACACTTTAAAATAAAAAATTTGGGAAAGCCAATATATCAGAGAGGTGTTGGGGCCGGCATTGTGGAAAAGCATGCTTAAACACCACTTGCAATACCAGCATCGCACATAGGAGTGCCAATTAGAGTTCCAGCTTACTGGTTCTAACATGAAAGGGAAGGCAGAAGACGACGCCTCAAGTATTTGAGACTTTACCACCCGTGGGAGGCCAGCAGGTGTTTCAGGCTCCTGACTTTGGCCTGGTACAGACCTGGCTGTTGCAGCAATTTGGATGATAAAACAGCAGATGGAAGATCTCTGTTTCTCCCTCTCTCTAGCTGCTTTGTGAGTAAATAAGTAGATCTTTTCAAAGAGGCAGGGGTAATATAAATAAATGAAAGCAAAACAGGTAAATAGAAACAGAAGATGACTTTGAAATAAGTATAGTTAATATCATGACAGATTTGAAATTATTTACCATTAATTCAAAAAGAATACCAATAACTCCTAAGAATTTTTTTTTTTAAATTTTAAATTAACTAATTAAAGAGAAAGAAAGGTAAATGGCCACAATGGCCAGGGCTGGGCCAGATTGAAGCCAGGACCCAGAAGATGCTTCTGGGTCTTCAAACTAGGTGCAGGTGCCCAAGTACTTGCACCACCCTCGGCTGTATTCCCAGGTGCATTAGCAAGGAGCTAGATTGGAAGTGGAATAGCTGGGACTTGAATCCTGCCCATATGAGATGACAGTGGTGCAGGAAGCGGCTTTATTGGGTATACCACAGCAATGGCCCTAGCTCTCAGAATGTTTAAATGTTACTGCCAAAAAAAAAAAAAATTTAGATGTGCTGAATACTGTACTGCATACCACTAAAGATCAAATTAGCAATTGAAAGATGGAGCCAAGAGACTGCATTGTATATTGACAAAAAGATAGAACACAAATGCTAAGCAAGTGACAGAAGAGATCCAGATGTTCTATTACATCTCTGAATGGCATTCTTCCAAAGGAATAGAAAAAGTGAAAATAATAGAAATTTTCCAGATCTGAAGGGCAAACAACTAGGATTAACCTCAAAAATCTTTAATTACCCAAGCACATCCTAGACCCATCTTCTTTTTAAATTATTTAAAAAAATTTTTAAAAAGATTTACTTATTTATTGGAAAGGCAGTTACAGAGAGGCAGAGGCAAAGAGAGAGAGAGAGAGAGAGAGAGGTGTCTTCCATCCAATGGTTCACTACCCAAATGGCTGCAATGGCAATAGCAGAAGTGGAGAAGGGGCTGGCGCTGTGGCATAGTGGTTAAAGCCCTGACCTCAAGCGCTGGCATCCCATATGGGTGCCGGTTGTAGTCCCGGCTGCTATTCTTCTGATCCAGCTCTCTGCTGTGGCCTGGGAAAGTAGTAGAAGATGGCCTGAGTCCTTGGGCCCTTGCACCCACGTGGGAGACCTGGAGGAAGGTCCTGGCTCCTGGCTTCGGATAAGCACAACTCCAGCCTTTGCAGCCATCTGGGGGAGTGAACCAGCAGATGGAACATCTCTCTCTCTCTGATTCTCTTTCAAACAAATTTTTTTTTAAGGAGGGGGGCGGAGAAGTGGAGCAGCCAGGACTTGAATGGATGCCCATATGGGATGCCAGCATTTCAGGCAGTGGCTTTACCTGCTACGCTACAGTGCCAGCCCCATAGACCCATCTTAGAACTAAAAATTGAATGAAAATCCTAAAATCTTACAAAGAGAAATATCAGGTTACTATCATAGTTCTAATCTGCATGCAACAGCACATACTGAAAGACAAGGAATTCATGTCTTCAAGCTTCGAGAGGAAAATTAAATTTGGTCTATATCCAGCCTAATTATCACTCAAGAGTTAGGGTAACATAAAGACTTTTTTAAGTCTTTTCTGCTTCATATTCAAGCATCAGAAATGTTCATGAAGAAGTGAAGAGCAGCCAAATGTTAAACATGTAGATAAATCCAATTGAATAACTGTTTATGTAAACAATAATAGTAATGTCTTCTGGATTTTAAGTAGAGAATTTAAATAAATTATATTTGTAGCATACAAGGAAAAAAGTGATAAAGTGAAGTTTAAAATGTCCTACCAATCTTGAATTGTCTTGGAAAAGTAAAAGCACTATTTATTCAATGGTGTTGGGGAAAAAACAGAATAATGAAGAGTAAGGAAACCAAAGACAAGATAGGAAGGAAACAGGGGTCATTAAGTAGAAAATGCACTGAGTATCAACAGAACTAAATCCAAATATATCAATATATTTATGTTAAGTGTAAAGAGCCTAAACCTATATCCTATAGATAATAGTACTTTAAAGTACCAGATTAAAAATATTTTTGGCTTGAGGGCCATGCAGTTTCAGAACATTCAATTCTCTCATTATTGTACAAACAAATGTCATACATAGACAATACATGGGCATGGTTGTGATACAATAAAACTTTATTCACAGCTATGAATAGACACCGTAGATTGCTGAACCCTGCAATAGGCCATGGGCACATATTTGCAATCAGTTAATGTGTAGAATGACTGCATTAGTTTTAAAGGATGATCACTCTAGTGCAAGACAGAATACAAGATAAACTGATAGAAACTGTTAGGAAGACAAGGAAACACCGAGGTGAAGAATGATGAAGAAGTGGCTATTAGGA